GTAAACTATTTTGAAAGTCATATTTTTAGTCTCTTTTAGTTAGTTAATGATAGAAACGGTTCTATATTCAGTCATATTATAAAAGGTAATTACAAAAAAATGTTTAAAAAGACAGCATGCCTGCAATCAACCAATTTAGTTGATTAGCTATGATATATTGAATACTAGCGACTCACCCTCGCTTAGCTTCGAGTTCGTCCCTAGACAAAAAGATAATAAATAAAAAAAAATCTATGTATTGATGATGATGATGATAGCCGATTCCGGCCACGGCGGCCAATCTCAATGATATTAGCCAACTGCGCAGGAGATATTATAGTGCTCAAGTGTACGCGCAGACACAAGTGCACTCTCTATTCCTATCACTCTCATACTCCGGTGGGACGACCACTCGACACGACCGGTGAGAGTTAAGGCGCAGGACCGACGGCTTTACGTGCTCTCCGAGGCACGGGGGTGAAACACCGCCAACTTCCGAACTCCGGGCTGTTACTGAGACTTACTATACAGAAAGACTCAATAACTAAACTTGGCCCGACCCGGGACTCGAACCCAGGACCTCCGGGTGTGCAACCGTACATGCTAGCTACTACACCACCGAGGCAGTTAATATATGTATTATTCCAGACTAAAATCTATCTCTGTGCCAAATTTCATCCAGATCCGTTCAGTTGTTCTGGTGTGAAAGAGTAAGAAACATCCATCTATCCATCCTCACAAACTTTCACATTTATAATATTTGTATAGAAGTGAATTATAATTTTATGAATAATTAAAATATTTAAAACGAAAACCCATGTCATTCAAAGTGTGCGCTATTTGTAAAATATTTATCAAAATCTTATCTGCATACGTTTGTAAATAACAGCTTTGTTTTGGCGAGCAGCTGCGTTATATATCACTAGAGTTTGACAGCCAATCAATTTAGGAGCATTCTACGAATATTTGTTTAATTTTGTTTTAGCCAAGAATAAAATTATATACCTGTAAAATGTTTTATTCTCTTCTTCATAATATCATGGGTTTTAATTTTTTCTGCGGAACCCTAATCCTTTTTCTACAATAAAAGTAGCCTAAGTTACTCCTTATAATATCAGCTATGTGTTTCAGTGAAAATCCCGTCAAAATTGGTCCAGCCGTTTTGTAGATTAGCCGGAACAAACAGACAGACATATAGACACAAAAAATTAAAAATTGTGTTTTTGTAAAAAACAGAAATTATTCTAAATCCAAAGAAAAATTATGTACAACTTCTCGGCTGGGCACAGCAGTGACAACTATAACAGACCTAGAGCGCGAGAGAGAGAGAACGTAGATAGAGAGTATCCTGCTATCTATATCCTCCTTCTAAAGGTTAGTACACCTGTAATGAAAAAGTCACCTAAAGTCAGTCGGTATAAGTAGCAGGCATAGATTTAAGAGAGGATTACTTCTCATAGGAACATTTTAGCAGAACCCAAAACTAGCCAGAACATCTACCAATGCGATATATTTGTGGTTGGGTTTTTAGCAACCAAGTAAAGTGCATCTAGAGTGGTTACATAAGTTAACACAATATAATATCAACATTTCGATATGACTTCATATACATAAATTCAAAGAAAATTAAAACTAAACTATTTTTTTTGTCCATGCGAACGTAGCCGCGGACAGAAAGCTATAGTAAAGTAAAGATGGCACTTTATATTACAGAGCTTAAAAAAGAAATAGAAAGAGAGAGACTGTAAGCTTCAAGTGTAAATACATAGCATTGGGTCTTTAAAAATAATATAGATATTAGCATGATAGTTAAAAAGCCCATATTAATCGAGTTACATGATTCTAAAGTAGTAAACACATTGTAGGTGAGTTTTCGTTGTGTGTATCATTGTACTCTATTACTCTTGGAAATATGGAGTAGAAAAATGTGCAAACAATACGATCGCAATAATTAAATTTGTTTTCCATTTATCTTTAAGAAATAATATGAAAAACGAACTTTAAAAGTATATATTGCGAAAAAAGTGTGTTTTTTTCATAGTTTAATCACTGGCGAAGCCGCGGGTTTTGCTATTGTGTTATAAAATTATAATAATGTAGCAACTAATTTGAATCATTACTAAATTTAAAAAAATGTTAGTTCCTTTTAACCTCAAGAGTATTATATAACATTTTATTTAAATAAATAAATATAAATAAATATTTTGGGACATTAACACACAGCACCATCTAGATCCATGGTAAGCTACAAGGCTTGTGTTATGGACACCAGATAGTTGATACAATACATACATATAACTTTAAATATATACATATTATAAATATTTATTACTAATGTTTTAGCAGTAGCGTAGATAAATGTGTTAATGATATTATGAAATCATGGCGCGGGTAACTGAGACTAATCCAACTAATATACTGCTGGGCGATTCGATTAGATAATCCAATTGGCTTATCCAAAGGAAAATTATAAAGAACAATATTATGTATATCTTCATAATAATGTGTTTGTGCATATTTTTCCATTTATTTTTTATTTCTTATCTTTATTTTACTAAAATCTAATAAAATTAGAGCTTAAAATAAAATTATAGAGTTAGATTGAAAAAAGGATTAGTCAAGTGTGAATTGGATTTACGAAAGAGGGTTTCGAAGCATATTTTATACCTATGTATATTTATTTCATACTACTATATGTGTAAGTAAAAAAAATGACAACAACAATGATTATTTTGATTGATTAGGTATATAATACCAATATTTGAAGATTTTTTTATCTTTTATTCTTTTTCTTTTCTTTTTATGACGCCTAAAACTCCCCAAAATCAGAATTTCATTATCTACTCCACTCATATATTATTCATATACTACCTATCTAAGAAAATTGACGATGAAAGTTTTACAGTCATATACACTGCAGCAATAAAGGTTTCGATGCAATATTTTACAGATAAAATATTTTATAAAGAGAAAATAAAAAAGTGTGCTTATTATTAAATAAAACTATCTTTTCGGATTATTTCGCGGATTTATTTTGATTTTTGGTTTTGTTAATTGTGGGTAGGCTGTCAGGAACCAAAAATCAAAATAAATCCGCGAAATAATCCGAAAAGATAATTTTATTTAATAATGTCAAACATTCGCGTAAATCTAAGAAAGTATTAAGTGTGCTTATAACATACCTATTCATCAAAAGTAAAATAATAAAGCACTAATGATATAATAATAATAAATTAATGGTATAATATTATTACGTAATTAAATACATGATACGACATAATAAGTATATATATGATATGTATGAATGCTTATATATTATACATATATTGTATACAGCCTTTTTTTAATGTCCCACTGCTGGGCACGGGCCTCCTTTCAGTACGAGGGGGATCAGGCCATAGTCCACCACGCTGGTATATGGTATATTGAATATAATAGAATATATGGTTAATGCATATACATATAATTAAATTAAATATATTAAATATTATTAAAATTATTAAATATGTTGGGACATTAAAACACAAACACCATCTAGTTCCATGATAAGCTACGTGGCTTGTGTTATGGATACCAGATAGTTGATACTACACATATCGACGGTTAAAAGGTAATAGGTAATAAGCGACATTTTGGTCGCAAATGAGTTATGAATGCCATCCTACTTAAAATTTTTAGCTCTTTCGAATGCGCTTACTCCCATGTCTCTACGATGGCTTTTTCGTCACTTATGCCCAGGCAAAAAACTGCGTTTTCGAAGTGTCATTTTGGTCTAACCGACCGAGTTTTAGGCCTTATTTACCCTAAAGGCACTTGTACCCCTGTAAAAATGGTATCAATTTTGGTTTATAGTCGGTAAGGTATTTTTACTTCTTACTGGCATAGAGATTCCGGGCGCTTAAGACTCTTTACAATTAGCACCGGTTTTGAAAGTTGGAACTAATGCCTCTTTACCTTTTTCGTCAAAAACATTAAGCGTCGGTTAAGCCTCACTACCATTTTCAAGTTTAAAATACAGTTGTCGCTTATACGCAATTACTAAATCTTATTTGATATTAAACTGTCGGTTATACCTTACTACCATTTACAAGTTTACGATATAGTTGTCGCTTATACGTAATTACTAATATGAAATTTTATATTAAGGTGTCGGGTATATCCATTTACCATTTACTATTTTAATACTACGTTGTCGCGTACGCCGTATTACTTTACAATTATTATTTGTTAATTGGTGCTTACGCCAATATAAATGACTTTGTAGTACTCAAGTACCTATTAAGCGAGTCGCCTATTCCAAAATCAGACCTAAGGCGGAGGTACCTATCAAATAAGCCATGGGTATTCTAAACCTTAGCTATGTTATCAATAAGCGTAGTTACAATAAGCTTAATAACCTACATTATCATAGCTTACGAGTACCTACTACCTACGTTCTCCCCTAAATACTTTCGTCTGCAACCTTCCCAATCTCTGGAGCCTAGCTTGCTTATTTACATACTCGTAATATATCTACAAAGAATAGTATTCGAAGAAACTCGCCTTTATAGCCTACCTTCACGTATCTACATACTTACCAGATATATTCAAATTATTTTATTATATTATTAGATTATATACTTACTAACCTTTTTTAATGCTGGGAAATGCATTTACGAATACCTGTTGGAAATGTATCTGTGGCAGGTTGACATCTACTGTAAGTGTAGAATGTAAGTATAGACAATTGTCTTCCGGTTCCGTTTTTATGTGGGGTTAGTAAGATATGGCGTCTTTGTTGCTGTGTCTACTTGTACTGAAATAAAGAATACTGAATAATAAATAGAGGTTTTCATTGTGCATCATAAAATTCATTAGGATATGGGCCCAGACTACAAAAAGTGTTAAAATTCAGTCAGATGACAAAGTTCGTAGGGCAGTGATGGCCTAAAGTAAGGCTTGGTTAAGACAAACGTGTAAGCACCCAGTTGGTCCACATTTTTATTCGAAAGCAAGGATATAAAAAAAAGGAAATAAAAGCAATGGCACATGCGGTGAACCAAATACCACAATTAGAAAGTGGAAATTTCACTAATTGGCTCTTTCGAATAGAGATTGCCATGGATGAAAAGGGGTGTGTGGATGCAATACGTAAGAAAACGGATTTGAAAGATGCAGATTTAAAGAAATCGGACGCCAAGGCTCACAACATCATCGTACAAGCACTTTCAGACAAACATTTGGAATATGTAAAAGAATCTAGAACAGTATATGAAATGATTGAAAACTTGAGAAATGTTTTTGAACGAAAAACAACAATTTCGAATCTTTATTCAAGGAGGAGCCTAATAAATTTAAAATGTAAAAGGCATGATAGTGTTGAGGAACACTTTAACAAATTTGACAAAATAATTAGAGAGATAGAGTCGAACGGCACAAAAATGACAGAGAAAGATAAAGTATGCCCGTTATTAATTAGTATGCAAGGAGCATACCCATCTATAGTGACTGCTCTAGAAACTTCAAACATGGAACTTAAAATAGATTTTGTAAAAAGTAAGTTTTTAGATGCCGAGCTAAAAGAAAAGCAAAGTTCATAAAGTAAAGTAAGTAAACAAGAATATGTATGTTACAGAGGATTTAAAACAAAAGAAAAAAATAATAGACCCCGAGCATATTTAGGAGAAGAAAACGATAGTGAAAAAGCTATATCATTCATTGCTTCTCAAGCTTATACAGCAGCTACATATCAAAATGAGATAGAATTTGTAATAGATTCGGGAGCATCGAACCATATGATTAGTATAGAATATGAGAAATATATGACTGATATACAAGAGATACAAGAAATTAAAGTTTTAGTTGCAAATGGAAATATGTTATCAGCTAAAAGGAAAGGTAATTTATCAGGAATATGTAGTCAAGGATTAAAAATTTCACTAAAAGATTGTCTTATTATGGAGAAACTGTCACACAATCTTATATCTGTTTTAAAGTTGAACGAGAAAGGCCTAAAAGTTATATTTCATAAAACAGATGTCAGTATTTGTCGAGGAAAAATAGAAATTAAAAGTGATATAGATGGAAAACTATATACATGAAATTTAAAGTTAATCAGAGAAAATATATTAATAACAGAGAAGACAGAAAATAATTTATGGCATAGGAGAATGGGACACTTAAATTATCAAGGTATGAAGATACTAGGATTACCGTTATCTAAAGAACGATGCACAATATGTATGGAAGCTAAAGGAACCCGTTGTTCATTCAGTCCAACCCCAATTCCAAGAACAAAGAAAATTGGAGAGTTGATTTACTGTGATATTGGTGGCCCGATAACACCAATAAGTAAAGATGGAGAAAAGTACTATCTTACAATAATAGATGATTATTCACATTTTATGGAGGTTAGCTTACTAAAAACAAAAGATCAAGCAAAAGATTATATAATAAAATACATAAGAAGACTAAGAAGTAATGATATTAATGTAAAGAGAATAAGAAGCGACAGAGGCAATTTGTGAATGATGACCTAAAATTATTCTATGAAGAAAATGGTATAGTACAGGAAACTACTTGTAGTTATACTCCACAACAAAATTCAATATGTGAGAGGATGAATCGGACACTAGCAGATAGAGTAAGAGCTATGTTGCTGGAGACAAATCTTCCAAAGTATCTATGGGGTGAAGCCATGAGGTGTGCAGCATATGTCATAAATAGATCACCTACAAAAGCACTAGAAGGTGATACACCGGCAAGAGTATGGTATGGAAAGAGTCAGCTAGATAAAATAAGAGTTTTTGGCTCGAAGGCATGGTGTGTACTTCTACCAAGGTTAACCAAATTGGAACCAAGAGCGAAGCCTATGATTATGATTGGATATTGCGGCTCAGGTTACAGACTATGGAATCCAAAACAAATGAAATAATCGAGTCCAGAGATGTACGATTTGATGAGTCAAACTACAGATATGAAGAAAATGAAAGAATCTCGTATATAGATTATGATGAAAACGGAGAGAGCAAGACTTTAACATCCAAAGAACCCCCTTCTACTTCTAAAGAACCAGAAATAGAACCATCCAGAAGCAGTAAAGGACATGAAAGCTCAGATGATGAGGAAAACTGCAATAAAAAATAGAACTTGAACTTGAGCCGGGGTGTTGGAAATGTATCTGTGGCAGGTGTGACATCTACTGTAAGTGTAGAATGTAAGTATAGACAATTGTCTTCCGGTTTCGTTTTTATGTGGGGTTAGTAAAATATGGCGTCTTTGTTACTGTGTCTACTTGTACTGAAATAAAGAATACTGAATAATAAATAGAGGTTTTCATTGTGCATCATAAAATTCATTAATACCACTTCAATACATACATGCGGTTATGTGGGACTCACCGGTTAGAAACGTCTCAATGGGGTGTCGTAGGATCGAATTTTAAAGGAGAATCATGTTGGTTGTGATTCTATTATTTTAAGACGTGACGTTTAATCCACGTTACCATTTGCCCAGATAATGCCGTAAGTTGGATGTTCTCGTTTTCCTCTTGGTATATAAATCTTGATGTGTGGAAGTACCACGTTACCTTGTTCTTCAATTCACTTACAGTGTAACTAATGTCTAACATCCTCACAATGTTTTTGCTAGGCACTGTATCTTATGTTTCATTACGTTCTTGCATAATTATGTGAATCGTCACTTGTCCTTCTTTACCCATTTAAGTTATTCTACTGTCATGTGACTTATGCCCTATTACCTCTTGGTATGAGGATATCAAATGTAGCTAAGGCGTCTATACTCTTCGTTTTTTTATGTGCACATGTAACTTACGCCGAATTACCTCATAAGAAAAATAAGATCAATTGGTATAAGCGGCAAAAATCAACATAAAACAACGTCGAATCATATAAATAAAAGTGACCATTATTGCCTTTATTTCTCTTGATTCTAGAACTGTTTCCTTTTTTACGATATGACAATAAATAAAAAAGTTATGTCCATTTTTCTGCAATTTCAAACTTTAAACAGCTCTCCTGAACAATTTCGTTTTTGTTGCTTATACCCTATTACCTTTTAACCGTCGATATGTAACTTTAAATACTTATTAAACTTTAATTACATATTATAAATATATAAACCAATGACTGCCCCCAGCGGGAGTCGAATTTGCGAACGCTGGCACAGCAAGTAGGGTAACTACAACTGAAGTACAGCAGAACGTGTCGTCAAAGTCAAATATGTATAGTATTACAATAAAAGTACTTAAATGTTTACAAACTAAAATATGTATAATATGTAAATTATTTATCCTGTAAAATTAAAATAGTAATAATAAAAAAAAACTAAAGCAACAAATCCATGGAATGAATTACTACGATATAAGTTTTCATTGCTGTCCCGGCTGGATAATCTCTGTAAATCTGTGACGGAAGCCGTTAAGCTAGATGCGTTTTTGTAAGTCTTCCGTGCTAGGCTGAAATGGCCCTTATTTTTAACTCGCTCGAGTCAATCACCCAGTACCCACTGACCTGCACAAAGTTATAATGAGTTTAGTAGTGTTAGTTAAAACTATCTGTGTTTTCTTATGTAATATTATATTACTACAAGCAACTTACCCTTACTTTGTCCGGGTGCCACTAGGTGCATAAAAAATCTTATGTTTTTCTCCAGATTATAATCTATATGAGTACTAAGTGTATTTAGGATATGCATTTGTGTATAGCAAGTACACCGCCTACCATTACATATAATTTTTCCTACGTCCTAAGGTTGCTTGGAAGATATCGCTTATAGCGATAAGGCCGCCTCCTGTGCATCATCTATTGTAGATATCTTCTTTTGTATATTTCTTTGTGATGTACAATAAAGTACATTCTTTTCTATTCTGTTTTGTGTTATTTTCTGTTCTGTCTGCAGAGCAGAGCATACAAACTTTCGCATTTTTTACGGTAATCTTAATCACTAAACTTGGCCAGACCGGGGACTCGAACCCAGGACCTCCGGGTGTGCAGCCGTACAAGCTAGCCACTACACCACCGAGGCAGTCAATAATGTAACTAAAATCTGAATACTATCTATACATTTTACTTAAAACTAGACACTCACGCTTTGCTCATGCTTTATTTAATACATGCAAATGCTTTTCAGTAGACGTTTGGAATATTGTACTTAATATATGAGACTAAAAAGTATATATTCTCTCTATTTTATGCTAAAAATTGCAAAAGTTCAGCCCTTCGTAAAAGAAGTGTAAAAATAAATTTAATGCATAATTAATTTTCAACATTTAGTGAATATTGAACATGTACGAGCATGTAAAGCTGTTATAAAAAAATAATTCTCACATAATTAATCATTTTAATTTAATGATAATAATAAATATAGCTAAAGAGTTTGATTGTAGACTTAAACGCTTCATTCAATTTGATTTAAAAATATTTTTCATTTTTTAGCCTACTAGTGACTCATCCTAACTCCGTTCGGTTTCGTCCTTAAGTACGTTTTAACAGTTAGTATAGATTTCTCAGAGATTAAATATTTTCCCGCAGTAAAAAGATCCGGATAGTCAGCTATCATCAGACCAAATTTCTTCAAAATCTTGTCAGTGGTTTTCTCGTGATGCGTTTAGAGACAGACAGACAAAAATTCTAAAAGCTATAGATTCAGCCTCTGTATCGATAATAATTACAATTTCAATAAGATTTCCCAAAAAATATTTAACGTAAAGATTCGGCTCAGATAGAATTTTATTATATGTATAGAGTAGTTCTTGTCCGCGGATTCACACGCGTGTAAAGACCGGGGAGTAAGGATAGCCTATATCCATCCCCAGGTTGCAAATGTATGTCCTTGTGAAATTTTATAGAAATATATTTAATGATATAAGCGTGAAAAGGCAACAGACAGAGTTACTTTTACATATGTATTTTACGATATTAGTATTGATTTAATTTGAAAGGAGCGTAGTATATATATATAATTAAAAGACGAGGGAAGTGCCGCAGGTAAACGCTGGTTTTAAATATTTCACAAAACGTTTAAAATATTATTTTGGTACACAGTTCTGGGGAACCTTTTAGAGAGTATTCATACAATTTAACATCTTAATACACGATACAAATCGACTTCTTGCTTTTGAAGCTATGAAAAAATTCATATTATATTAAAGGTTTGATTTGACACGTTTTTATTGACGCCTCCAACGCTCGTGTAAATAATATCAAAGAATTGTAACAAAATGAACGTGGTATTATAAAGTACGGTAAAATGAAAGGTAAAGTACTCGTAAGCAGTTTGACTTAAATTCTATACAGATAAATAAAATTGAAGTGTCTGTTTGTAATGTCAAAATAACAGCATTTTACTAAATGCATATGAAATTATATATGGTATTTATGAGGAACAATTTTTTAAAATCATTGTCTGGCTGTCTATCTTTTGTTTCAGATAACCTCTGAAACGGCTGACGGGATTTTCACTGAAAGATAGCTGATGTTATAGGGAGTAATATAGGCTACTTTTATTTTAGAAAAAAAATAGGCTTTCGCTCAAAAAAATTAAAACCAATAAATATGGAGAAAAAATAGGGACGAATCCGAGCGAAAAGAGGGTGAGTCGCTAGTTATTACTATTATAGGTGTTGCGTTCATTCAAAACATTACATAAGTTTTCGAATTTGATTCCAGATTCACAGCGCTGTTAGTTTAGTATGCTAATAAAAATAAATTTTGTTATTTAGAGATGCTCTAATAATGAAAGATTATTTAAAAATCGTTTAGCAGTTCTTAATATCTATCTTATATAAATAACAATAAATCTTTGTTTTGAGATTAACACACATCAGCATCTAATTCCATGGTAAGCTACGAGGCTTGTGTTATAAATACCAGATATTTAATACACTACACATAGGCATATAACTTTAAATACATACAAATTATAAATATAAACACTCATAACTTGATACAAATATTCGTGCTCATCACACGAATAAATGCCCCCAGCGGGACTCGAACTCGCCATTGCCGGCACAGCAAGTAGGGTAACTATAAACTGATCCAAGCGTGTCGTCACTCTTGAATATCTTTGTACTCTACGTTATCTATACGTTCCTGAGCCATTCATCCGATTGTAATGAAACTTTGTCCTCTGTATGCCCCCGAAAGTCCCTGGCCCAAAAAGGCAGATATTTTCTTTGAATATATGTAGGTACATATGCTCTCAATGCATTCCTAGACAAGTAACAAAACAAAACCAAAAAAAGCCGCTACTTATCTATAAACGAACAAACAAATTGTACTTCCTTGTTAATAAAATATGAATGTGTAACAGTTTTATTCAATGAAACACTGGTTAGACTTGCTAGCCAAAGTCAACCTTGCGGCTAGTTCTTGCATTATTCCTTTTAACGTCCGTAGGTAGTACACGGAAAATGTCTTAATTTTCTACTGTGTTTTATTAAAATGCATCTACCAGATGTAAAATCCTTGTATTTCTGCAGGCGTCGTAAATTTGATTTACTTTTGTAATTATACAAAGAAAAATGTTGTGCAACGCGTACCTATTTTATACTCAGTTGTTTTGGTTATCATATTATGTATGAAAATAATTTTATATCTGATAGATAAAGAAGTAAGCTACTGCTAAGAACGCTACTTCATTCCCGTCCATAATAATATTTTTGTTCATTCTTAAATTATTCAGAGGTATTTATTACCTGCTCTTTGAACATGTTGTTGATACATATTTTTGTAATCGATTGATTGATAATCAAATTATAATAATGTTAGTTTCTGTAAAGAAATAATGTAATAGGTAAATCGAAAAAAAGTATTCGATTCCTACATTTGAAGTAACAGCAAATTTAATTTTTTTATATAATAATAGCGACCGTACGCGGATTTTATTCACAACTTCATGGGTTTTAGTTTTTTTGCTAGGAACTCTTTTTCTAAAATAAAAGTGGCATAAATTACTCTATAAAAAATGTACTGTCAAAATCGATATAGCCATTTTGAAGATTAGGCGGAACAACAGACAATCTCAATTTATTTATAAAACTTAAAAAAAAAAACAATAGAAAAATTATTAAATTTTTTGCCAACATATTACTGCTATTTTATATGGGCTAGCCAAAGACT